TAAAAATGAGGGGTGTGACTTTAAGAAAAGGGGCGTGGTCTTTGTTAGAAGGGGTGTGGCTTTGACTTAAGGGGTGTGGCTTAAAAACGAGGGGCGTGGCTTTAAGACAATGGACGTGGCCTTTGTTAGAAGGGGCGTGGCTTAAAATGAAGGGCGTGGCTTAAAGAAAAGGGGTGTGGTCTTGTTAGAAGGGGTGTGGCTTAGAGAGAAGGGGTGTTGTTTTAAAAGAAGGGGCGTGGCTTAGACAGAAGGGGTGTGGTCTTGTTAGAAGGGGTGTGGCTTAAAATGAGGGGTGTGGCTTCAAAAGAAAGGGCGTGGCTTTAAAAAGAAGGGGCGTGGCTTTAAAAGAAGGGGTGTGGCTTTAAGAAAAGGGGCGTGGCTTTAAGAGAAGGGGTGTGTCTTTGAGAAAATGGGCGTGGTCTTTGTTAGAAGGGGTGTGGTTTAAAATGAGTGGTGAGGTTTTAGGAAAAGGGGCGTGGTCTTGTTAGAAGGGGCGTGGCTTGGAGAGAAGGGGCGTGGCTTTAAAAAGGGGGTGTGGTTTAAAACGAGGGGTGTGGCTTTAAGAGAAGGGGTGTGGCTTAAGAAAAGGGGCGTGGTTCTAAGAGAAGGGGCGTGGCTTTAAAAGAAGGGGCATGGCTTTGACTTAAGGGGCGTGGCTTAAAGAAAAGGGGCGTGGCTTTAAAAGAAGGGGTGTGGTTTTAAAAGAAGGGGTGTGGCTTTAAAAATAAGGGGTGTGGCTTTGAATTAAGGGGTGTGGCTTTGACTTAAGGGGCGTGGCTTAAAAATGAGGGGCGTGGCTTTAAGAGAAGGGGCGTGGCTTAGAGAAAATGGGTGTGGTCCTGTTGGAAAGGGGCGTGGCTTTGTTAGAAGGGGCGTGGTTTAAAATGAGGGGCGTGGTATTAAGAAAGGGGCGTGGTCTTGTTGGAAAGGGGCGTGGCTTTAAAAGAAGGGGCGTGGCTTAAAATGAGAGGCGTGGCTTTAAAAGGGGGTGTGGTTTTGAGAGAAGGGGCGTGGCTTTGAGAGAAGGGGCGTGGCTTGCGAATTGTGGGCGTGGTTTATGAGAAAAGGGGGCGTGGTTTTTTGTGGGGGGGAGGGGCCTGGGATGTCCCCCCCTGGTGTCCCCTTTTGGGGTCATTTTGGGGTCATTTGGGGTCATTTTGGGGTCACTTTGTCCCTTTTTGGGTCATTTTGGGGTCATTTGGGGTCATTTTGGGGTCATTTTGTCCCTTTTTGGGGTCATTTTGGGGTCATTTTGTCCCTTTTGGGGTCATTTTGGGGTCATTTTGGGGTCACTTTGTCCCTTTTGGGGTCATTTTGACCCCTTTTGGGGTCATTTTGGGCTCACTTTGTCCCTTTTGGGGTCACTTTGGGGTCATTTGGGGTCACTTTGTCCCTTTTGGGGTCATTTTGGGGTCATTTTGGGGTCATTTGGGGTCATTTTGTCCCTTTTGGGGTCATTTTGGGGTCATTTGGGGTCATTTGGGGTCATTTTGGGGTCATTTGGGGTCATTTGGGGTCATTTTGGGGTCACTTTGTCCCTTTTGGGGTCATTTTGGGGTCATTTTGGGGTCACTTTGGGGTCATTTGGGGGTCATTTTGGGGTCATTTTGGGGTCACTTTGTCCCTTTTGGGGTCATTTGGGGTCATTTTGGGGTCACTTTGGGGTCATTTTGGGGTCATTTTGTCCTTTTGGGGTCATTTTGGGGTCATTTTGGGGTCATTTTGGGGTCACTTTGTCCCTTTTTGGGGTCACTTTGTCCCTTTGGGGTCATTCTGTCACTTTGGGGTCATTTTGGGGTCATTTTGGGGTCTTTTTTGGGTAATTTTGTCCCTTTCTGGGGTCATTTTGGGGTCATTTTGGGGTCATTTTGAGGTCATTTTGTCCCTTTTTGGGGTCACTTTTGGGTCACTTTGGGGTCACTTTGTCCCTTTTTGGGGTCACTTTGTCCCTTTTTGGGGTCATTCTGTCCCTTTTGGGGTCATTTTGGGGTCATTTTGGGGTCATTTTGGGGTCATTTTGTCCCTTTTGTGGTCATTTGGGGTCATTTTGGGGTCATTTTGTGTCATTCTGGGGTCATTTTGTCCCTTTTTGGGGTCATTTTGGGTCACTTTGGGGTCATTTGGGGTCATTTTGGGTCATTTTGGGGTCACTTTGTCCCTTTTTGGGGTCATTTTGGGGTCATTTTGTCCCTTTTGGGGTCACTTTGGGGTCATTTTGGGGTCACTTTGGAGTAATTTTGTCTCTTTTGGGGTCATTTTGGGGTCATTTGGGGTCATTTTGGGGTCACTTTGGGGTCACTTTGAGGTCAAATCCCCCCAAATCCCCCCCATTCCCCCCAAAATCCCCCCAAAACTCACCTTGGACCCCCCAAATCCCACTCCAAACCCCCAAATCCCCCAAAATCCCCCCAGACCCCCAAACCCCAAATCCCTCAAATCCCCTCCAAACCCCCATGGACCCCAAATCCCCCCAAATCTCCTCAGATCCCCCAAATCCCTCCAAAATCCCCCAACCCCCCAAATCCCCCAAAACCCCCAATAGATCCCAAAATCCCCCAAATCCCACCCAAATCCCCCAAAACTCACCTTAGAACCCCCAAACCCACCCAAAGCCCTCCTAAATTCCCCCAGGACCCCAAATCCCCCAAATCCCCCCAAATTCCCTCAAACTCCCCAAAATCCCTCAAAATCCCCTCAAATCCCCCAAATCTCCTCAGATCCCCAAACCCCCCCAAATCCCCCCAAAATCCCTCCTCTCGCCCCTCCCACTCCCCCTAAGCCCTCCCACTCCCCTCTAAGCCCTCCCACACTCCCCGCCCTCTCACTCCTCCCACGCCCTCCCCCCACCCTTCCCACGCCTCCTCCTTTATCCCACCCCTCCCCACCCTCCCACACCCCCAATTCCTCCCACACCCTCCCCCATCCTTCCCAAGCCCTCCCACGTCTCCCCCTCAATTCCTCCCACACCCCTCCCCACCCTTCCCACTCCCCCCATTTCTCCCACGCCCCTCCCCCACCCCTTCCCACGCCTCCCCACACCCCCACCCCCCACGCCCCTCCCCCACTCCTCCTCCCTTTATTCCTCCTCTCCCCTTCCCTCCCCTCCACCCCCTCCCTTTGCCCCCATGCCCCTCCCCCCACTCTTCCCAAGCCCCCCACTCCCCCCCAATCCCTCCCACGCCCCTCCCCCCACCCTTCCCACTCCCTCCCCTCTCCCCCCTTCCCTCCCTCTCCCTCCCCCTTCCCTCCCACGCCCCTCCCCCCACATCCCAATTCCCCCACACCCCCCCACTCCCCCTCCCTTCCTCCCACGCCCCTCCCCCACCCTTCCCACTCCTCCCCAATCCCTCCCCACCCTCCCCCCACCCTTCCCACTCCCCTCCTCCTTTCATTCCCCTCCTTCCCTTCCCTCCCCCCACCCCTTCCCAAGCCCTCCAACTCCTCCTACACCCTCCCCCACCCCCTCCCCACCCCCCAAGCCCCTCTCCCACCCTTCCCACTCCCCTCCCCCTCTCCCCCTTCCCACCTCTCCTCCCCTCTCCCCCACTCCTCCCCTTCCCTCCTCCCACTCCCTTCCCACTCCCTCCCCCCACCCTTCCCACTCCCCCCAACCCTCCTCCCCTCTCTCCCCCCTTCTCCCCTTCCTTCCCTCCCTTCCCCCCCAGTCCTCCCTCCTCCCTCCCACCCTTCCCACACCCCCCTCTCCCTTCCCCCCTTCCCTTCCCCCATGCCCCTCCCACTCCCCCTAAGCCCTCCCCCACCCTTCCCACTCCCCCACATTCCTCCCATTCCCCCCCAATCCTCCCACGCCCTCTCCCCACCCTTCCCACGCCCCCTCAATCCCTCCCCCACCCCCAATTCCCCTCCCACGCCCCTCCCCGAGATTCCCACGCCCCTCCCCCACACCCCCATGTCCTCTCCCACGCCCCCCAAACTCTCCCCACTCCCCTCCCCACTCTTCCCACACCCCATGCCCTCCCCCCCTACCCTTCCCAAGCCCCCCACGCCCCCCCCAATTCCTTCCCACGCCCCTCCCCCACTCCCCCTCCTCCCACGCCCTCCCCTCTCTCCCCCCTCTCCCCCCTTCCCTCCCCCACTCCCCCTTCCCACTCCCTCCCCACCCTTCCCACTCCCCCATTCCTCCCCACCCTCCCCCACCCCTCCCTTTGCCTCCCACGCCCCTCTCCCACCCTTCCCACTCCCCTCCCCTCTCTCCCCCTTCCCACTCCCTCCCTCCTCCCTCTCCCCCACTCCTCCCCCCTTCCCTCCCCACCCTCCCTTCCACTCCCTCCCCCCACCCTTCCCACTCCCCCAATCCCTCCCACGCCCCTTCCCCACCCTTCCCAAACTTCCCATGCTCCTCCCCACCCTTCCCACGCCCTCCTCCCCACACCCCTCCCCACACCCCTCCCCTCTCCTCCCCCTCTTCCCCCCTTCTCCCCCTTCCTCCTCCCCACATTCCTCCACGCCCTCCCCACCCTTTCCCACGCCCCTCCCCCTCTTCCCCTTCTTCTCCTCCCTCCCTCTCCTTCCCTCTTCTCTTCCCCTTCTCCTTCCCCTCTCTTCCTCCTCCCCACGCCTTGGGGACTGGTCCTGGAGTGGGGTCAGGTCTGAGGGGGTGGGGGGGCTCGGATCAGAGAGGGGAGAGGCAGAGAGGGGGAGGGGCAGAGAGGGGGAGGGGGCAAGAGCGAATGACATTGTAATTTCCACCTGAGCGTCGAGCAGGAGGAGCTGCCGCCGCGATCCTCGTGGGGGCTTGGAGGAGGAGGGGGCGACGCTATGCTGCTGCTGGTGCTGGTCCTGGTCCCGGAGTGGTGGTGGGGAGGGGGTGGGGTGGGGAGGGTGATGGGGGTGGAGAGGCGTGGTGGGTGGGGGAGGGTGCTGCGACCCCACGGGTGGGGTGGTGGTGGCGGCGTTGAGTTGATGATGATGATGATGATGGTGGTGGGGGGTGGGGAGGGGCGTGGGAGTGGGGGAGGAGGGCGGGGGGGAGGAGGAGGGGTGGGGGTGGGCTGCTGCTGATCGGGGTGGGCGGCCAAGTGATGATCCCTGCGCAGCTCCTGCTCCACCAGCATCAGCCTGCGGGGCCAGGCTTCACCGGGGTCATGCTGCCACTCCTCCCTGTCCCCACGCCACTCGTGACACGTGGGAGAAGCCCTCGGGGTCGTGGGGCAAATCCCTCCCCACCTCCTTGGGAAAATCCCTCCTCCCCCCACCTTGGGGACATCTCCCCACCTCCTCCCCCTGGGACATCTCTCCTCCCCCCTCACTCTCCCACTCGTGACACCCGTGGACACCTGTGGAGCAACCCCTGGGGTCGTGGGGACAAATCCCTCCCCTCCCACCTTTGGGGACAATCCCCCCCACCCTCCCCCTTGGGAAATCCCACCCTCCCCAGGGGACATCCCACTCCCCCTCCCCACTCGTGACACGCCCCACGCCGTGGGAGCAGCCCCGGGGTCGTGGGGATGGGGACAATCCCCTCCCACCTCCTTGGGGAAAATCCCTCCCCTCCCCCCACCTTGGGGACAATGGGGACATCTCCCTCCCACCAAGGGGTCGTGCTGCCACTCCCCCCTTTCCCCACCCACTCGTGACACCCGTGGGACACCCGTGGGAGCAGCCCCGGGGTCGTGGGAGAAGCCCGGGGTCGTGGGGATGGGGACAATCCCTCCCCTCTTTGGGGATATCTTCCCCCTCCCCCTCCCAGGCTTCACCGGGGTCATAGCTGCCACTCCCCCTGTCCCCACCCACTCGTGACACGCGTGGGACCAACCTCGAGCAGCCCCAGGGGTCAAATCCCCAGAGGGACAATCCTCCCCTCCCCCTTTGGGAAAATCCCTCCCCCTCCCCCACCTTGGGGACATCTCCCCACCCCCTCCCCTTGGGGACACCCCCCCTCCCCCACTCCCACTCCCCACTCGTGACACCCGTGGGACACCCGTGGGAGCAACCCCGGGGGTCGTGGGGATGGGGACAATCCCCTCTCCCCACCCTGGGGACAATGGGGACATCTCCCAAAATCAACCCCCAAATCCACCCCAAAATCAACCAAAAATCCCACAAAATCCATCCCAAAAAACCCCACAATAAACCCCAAAATCAACCCCAAAATCCCCCCCAAAATCCCCCCCAAAATCAACCCCAAAATCGACCCCAAAATCCCCCAAATCAACCCTAAAATCCTGAAAATCAACCCCAAAATCCACCCCAAAATCAACCCCAAAATCCCCCCAAATCGACCCCAAATCCTCAAAATTAACCCAATCAATCTAAATCAACTAAAATCCCCAAAATCAATCCCAAATCAACCCCAAAATCCCCAAATCAACCTCAAAATCAACCCTAAAATCAATTCAAAAGCCCCAAAATCACCCCAAAATCAACCCCAAAATCAACCCCAAAATCAACCCCAAAATCAACCCCAAAATCAACCCCAAAATCAACCCCAAAATCAACCCCAAATCAACCCCAAAATCAACCCCCCAAAATCAACCCCAAAATCAACCCAAAATCAACCCCAAATCAACCCAAAATCAACCCAAAATCCACCCCAAAATCAACCCTAAAATCAACCCCAAAATCAACTCAAAATCCCCAAATCAACCCCAAAATCAACCCCAAAATCAACCCCAAAAGCCCCAAATCAACCCTAAAATCAACCCCAAAATCAACCTCCCAAAATCAACCCCCAAAATCAACCCCAAAATCAACCCCAAAATCAACCCCAAAATCAACCCAAAATCAACTCCAAAATCAACCCCAAAATCCCAAATCCCAAAATCAACCCCTAAAATCCCCCAAAATCAACCCCAAAATCAACCCCAAAATCCCCAAAATCAACCCCAAAATCAAACCCAAAATTCCCAAAATCCCCAAAATCCCAACCCTAAAATCAACCCTAAAATCAACCCCAAATTCAACCCCTAAAATCAACCCAAAATCAACCCTAAAATCAACCCCCAAATCCTCAAAATCAACCCCAAAATCAACCTCAAAATCAACCCCAAAGTCCCCCAAAATCAACCCAAAATTGACCAAAATTAACCCCAAAATCAACCCCAAAATCCCCCCAAAATCCCCCAAAATCAACCCCAAAATCAACCCCCAAATCAACCCCAAAATCAACCCCAAAATCCACCCCAAAATCCACCCCAAAATCAACCCCAAATCAACCAAAATTAACCCAAAATCAACCCAAAATCAACCCCAAAATCAACCAAATCCACCCCAAAATCCACCCCAAATGAACCCCAAAATCAACCCCAAAATCAACCCCAAAATCCCCCCCAAAATCCCCCAAAATCAACCCCAAAATCCACTCCAAAATCAGCCCCAAAATCAACCCCAAAATCAACCCCTAAATCAACCCTAAAATCAACCCCAAATCAACCCCAAAATCAACCCCAAAAAGCCCCAAAATCAACCCCAAAATCGACCCAAAATCAACCCTAAAATCCCCCCCAAAATCGACCCCAAAATCAACCCCAAAATCCTAAAAATCAACCCCAAATCAACTCCAAATCCTCAAAATCAACCCCAAAATCAACCCCAAAATCCCCAAAATCCCCAAAATCAACCCCAAAATCAACCCCAAAATCAACCCCAAAATCAGCCCCAAAATCAACCCCAAAATCAACCCCAAAATCAACCCCAAATCAACCCCAAATCCTCAAAATTAACCCCAAAATCAACCCAAAATCAACCCCAAAATCAACCCCAAAATAAACCCCAAAGTCCCCCAAAATCAACCCAAAATCAACCCAAAATCAACCAAAATCAACCCTAAATCAACCCCAAAATCGACCCCAAAAAGCCCCAAAATCAACCCCAAAATCAACCCAAAATCAACCCCAAAATCTACCCCAAAATCAACCCCAAAATCAACCCCAAAATCAACCCCAAAATCAACCCTAAAATCAACCCCAAAATCAACCCTAAATCCAATCCCTAAAATCAACCCTAAAATCAACCCCAAAATCAACCCCAAAATCAACCCCAAAATCAACCCCAAAATCAACCCTAAAATCAACCCCAAAATCAACCCCAAAATCCTCAAAATCAACCCCAAAATCAACGCAAAAATCAACTCCAAAATCAACCCCAAAATCAACCCCAAAATCAACCCCAAAATCCACTCCAAAATCCACTCCAAAATCCACTCCAAAATCAACCCCAAAATCACTTTTGGGGACAGTTTTAGGGACACTTTTTGGGGACAATTTGGGGACATTTTGGGGTCAGTTTTGGGGTCATTTCTGGGACAATTTGGGGCCATTTGGGGGACACATTGGGGACATTTCTGGGGACAATTTTGGGCACAATTTGGGGACATTTTGTCCCCAACGCCACCAGGAAGATCCCAAAGGTCCCTGAGTGTCCCTTGAGTGTCCTCAATGTCCCCTGGATATCCCAAAGGTCCCAGGGTGTCCCCAATGTCCCCTTGAGTGTCCTGAGTGTCCCTCAGTATCCCAAAGGTCCTGGGGTGTCCCCAAAGGTCCCTGAGTGACCCCAAGGTTCCGGGGTGTCCCCAATGCCACCAGGATGTCCCCAAAGGTCCCTGAGTGACCCCAAGGTTCCGGGGTGTCCCCAATGCCACCAGGGTGTCCCCAAAGGTCCCTGAGAGTCCCAAAGGTCCCTGAGTGTCCCCGGATACCCCAGAGGTCCCTGAGTGTCCCCAACACCTCCAACATCCTCTGGGTGTCCCCAATGTCCCCAAGGTCCCCTGAGTGTCCCCAAAGGTCCCCAGGGTGTCCCCAAAGGTCCCTGAGTGTCCCCAACACCCCCAGGATGTCCCCAACATCTCCAGGACGTCCTGAGTGTCCCCAAAGGTCCCTGAGTGTCCCCAATACCCCCAGGATGTCCCCTGAGTGTCCCCAACATCTCCAACACCCCCAGGACCTCCTGGGTGCCCCCAAGGTTCTGGGGTGACCCCAACACCCCTAGGATGTCCCCAAAGGTCCCTGAGTGTCCCCTGAGTGTCCCAAAGGTCCCAGGGTGACCCCAAAGGTCCCCAGGGTGTCCCCAACATCTCCAGGACCTCCTGGGTGTCCCCAAGGTTCTGGGCTGTCCCCAGTGCCACCAGGATGTCCCCAAAGGTCCCTGAGAGTCCCCAAAGGTCCCTGAGTGTCACCTGAGTGTCCCCAATGTCCCCTGGATATCCCTAAGGTCCCAGGGTGTCCCCAACACCCTTAGGATGTCCCCAACATCTCCAGGACCTCCTGGGTGTCCCCAAGGTTCTGGGGTGACCCCAATGCCACAAAACGACCCCAAAACGACCCCAAACGTCCCCAAAACGACCCCAAACACCCCCAAGCCCCCAATCCCCCAACCCCTGCAGGTGCCCCCTCACCTGCCGATGATGCTCTTGATCTGCGAGTCCTTCTCCTGCTGCTGCTGCCACCCCCAGTGTCCCCAAACCCCCCATCTCCAATGTCCCCTGAGTGTCCCCAATGTCCCCAAGGTCCCCAATGTCCCCTGGGTGTCACCTGAGTGTCCCCAACACCTCCAACACCCCCTGAGTGTCCCCAATGTCCCCAAGGTCCCCTGAGTGTCCCCAATGTCCCCTGGGTTTCCTGAGTGTCCCTGAGTGTCCCAAAGGTCCCAGGGTGACCCCAAAGGTCCCCTGAGTGTCCCCAACACCTCCAACATCCCCTGGATGTCCTGAGGTCCCTGACAGTCCCCAAGACCTTGGGGTGTCCCCAACACCCCCAGGACCTCCTGGGTGCCCCCAACACCCCCAGGATGACCCCAATGCCACCAGGAAGACCCCAAAGGTCCCAGGGTGTCCCCAAGACCTTGGGGTGTCCCCAATGCCACCAGGATGTCCCAAAACGACCCCAAACCACCCCACCCCCCATCCCCCTGCAGGTGCCCCCTCACCTGCCGATGATGCTCTTGATCTGCGAGTCCTTCTCCTGCTGCTGCTGCCACCCCCAGTGTCCCCCCCATTGTCCCCAGGATGTCCCCAACGCCACCAGGGTGTCCCCAAAGGTCCCTGAGTGTCACCTGAGTGTCCCCAATGTCCCCAGGGTGTCCCCAATGTCCCTGAGTGTCCCCAAAGGTCCCAGGGTGTCCCCATGGTCCCCTGAGTGTCCCCAACATCTCCAACATCCCCTGGGTGTCCTCAATGTCCCCTGGGTGTCCTGAGTGTCCCTGAGTATCCCAAAGGTCCCCAGGGTGACCCCAAAGGTCCCTGAGTGACCCCAAAGGTCCCTGAGTGACCCCAAGGTCTTGGGGTGTCCCCAAAGGTCCCTGAGTGACCCCAAGGTTCTGGGGTGTCCCCAATGCCACCAGGGTGTCCCCAAAGGTCCCTGAGTGTCCCCTGAGTGTCCCCAACATCTCCAACACCCCTAGGACCTCCTGGGTGTCCCCAGTGCCACCAGGGTGTCCCCAACATCTCCAGGACCTCCTGGGTGTCCCCAATGCCACCAGGATGACCCCAAAGGTCCCAGGGGTGTCCCCAAGGGTTTTGGGATATCCCAATCCCCCCCAACCCCCTGCAGGTGCCCCCCTCACCTGCCGATGATGCTCTTGATCTGCGAGTCCTTCTCCTGCTGCTGCTGCCACCCCCCAGTGTCCCCCCCAACACCCCCCAGGGTGTCCCCAACACCCCCTGGGTGTCCCCTGAGTGTCCCCAAGGTCCCCAGGGTGTCCCCAATATCCCCTGAGTGTCCCCTGAGTGTCCCCAATGTCCCCTGGGTGTCCTCAATGTCCCCTGAGTGTCCCCTGAGTATCCCAATGACCCCAAGGTCTTGGGGTGTCCCCAATGCCACCAGGGTGTCCCCAAAGGTCCCTGAGTGTCCCCAAAGGTCCCAGGGTGACCCCAAAGGTCCCCAGGGTGACCCCAAATATCCCTGAGTGTCCCCAATGCCACCAGGGTGTCCCCAATGTCCTCTGGGTGTCCCGAATGTCCCCTGGGTGTCACCTGAGTGTCCCCAACATCTCCAACACCCCCTGGGTGTCCCCAAAGGTCCCTGAGTGTCCCCTGAGTGTCCCCAAGGTCCCAGGGTGACCCCAATGCCACCAGGATGTCCCCAACATCTCCAGGACCTCCTGGGTGTCCCCAAGGTTCTGGGGTGTCCCCAGTGCCACCAGGGTGTCCCCAAATGTCCCTGAGTGTCCCCAGAGTGTCCCCTGGGTGTCCCCAACATCTCCAACACCCCCAGGACCTCCTGGGTGCCCCCAATGCCACCAGGAAGACCCCAAAGGTCCCTGAGTGACCCCAATGCCACCAGGATGTCCCAAAACGACCCCAAACGACCCCAAAGTCCCCAAGCCCCCAATCCCCCATCCCCCTGCAGGTGCCCCCCTCACCTGCCGATGATGCTCTTGATCTGCGAGTCCTTCTCCTGCTGCTGCTGGCGCAGGCGGCGCTCGCTGAGCTCGAGGCGCTGCTGGTACTGCAGGAGGATGCGGCTCGTCTGCTCCTCCTGCGTCACCAGGCGCCGCTCGTACTCCTCCAGCTTGCGGTTGGACAGGTGCAGCCGCTCCTTCAGCGAGTGGATCTCCTCCTCGTACTCCTTCACCTGCCACACGTCACACCTGGGGGCTCCTGGGGGCACCCAGAACCTCCCAGAACCTCCCAGAACCTCCCACAACCTTCTCTGGGGCACCTGGAACCTTCTAAGTGACACCTGAGGGCACCTGGGACACTCTAAGGGACACCTGGACTCTCAAGAACCCAACCCTGGTGACCACCTGGAGGCACCTGGGACCTCCTAGAACCTCCTGGGACCCTCTAATTGACACCTGAGGGCACCTGGGACCTCCTAGAACCTTCTATGGGGCACCTGGGACCTTCTCTGGGACACCCCAAGGGACACCTGGGCACAGGTGCAGCCGCTCCTTCAGCGAGTGGATCTCCTCCTCGTACTCCTTCACCTGCCACACGTCACACCTGGGGGCTCCTGGGGGCACCTGGGACCCCCCAGAACCTCCTGGGACCACCTAGAACCTCCCAGAACCTTCTATGGGGCACCTGGAGCAATCTAGAACCTCCTGGGACCTTCTCTGGGACACCTGGGCACAGGTGCAGCCGCTCCTTCAGCGAGTGGATCTCCTCCTCGTACTCCTTCACCTGCCACACGTCACACCTGGGGGCTCCTGGGGCCACCTGGGACCCCCCAGAACCTCCCAGAACCTCCTGGGACCTTCTCTGGGGCACCTGGGACCTTCTCTGGGGCACCTGGGACCTTCTCTGGGGCACCTGGGACCTTCTATGGGGCACCTGGACTCTCAGGAACCCAACCCTGGTGACCACCTGAACATCTGGGAACCCTCTGTGGTCACACCTGGGACCTCCTAGAACCTCCCAGAACCTTCTAAGTGACACCTGAGGGCACCTGGAACCTTCTATGGGGCACCTGGAGCAACCTAGCACCTCCTGGGACCTTCTCTGGGGCACCTGGGACCTTCTCTGGGGCACCTGGGCACAGGTGCAGCTGCTCCTTCAGCGAGTGGATCTCCTCCTCGTCCTCCTTCACCTGCCACACGTCACACCTGGGGGCTCCTGGGGCCACCTGGGGCCACCTGGGGCCACCTGGAGCAACCCAGAACCTCCCAGAACCTTCTATGGGACACCTGGGACCACCCAGAACCTTCTATGGGGCACCTGAGGGCACCTGGGACACTCTATGGGGCACCTGGACTCTCAGGAACCCAACCCTGGTGACCACCTGAACATCTGGGAACCCTCTGTGGTCACACCTGGGCACACCTGGAGACACCTGGGACCTCCTAGAACCTTCTATGGGGCACCTGGGACCTTCTATGGGGCACCTGGGACCTTTTATGGGACACCTGGACCCAGCCCTGGGGACACCTGAACATCTGGGAACCCTCTGTGGTCACACCTGGGACCTCCTGGAACCTTCTATGGGGCACCTGGGACCTTCTATGGGGCACCTGGAGGCACCTGGGACCTCCTGGAACCTTCTCTGGGGCACCTGGGACCTTCTCTGGGGCACCTGGGACCTTCTATGGGGCACCTGGAGGCACCTGGGACCTCCTAGAACCTTCTATGGGGCACCTGGGACCTTCTATGGGACACCTGGGACCTTCTATGGGGCACCTGGGACCTTCTCTGGGGCACCTGGGACCTTCTCTGGGACACCTGGGCACAGGTGCAGCCGCTCCTTCAGCGAGTGGATCTCCTCCTCGTCCTCCTTCACCTGCCACACGTCACACCTGGGGGCTCCTGGGGCCACCTGGGGGCTCCCAGAACCTCCCAGAACCTTCTATGAGACACCTGGAGCAACCTAGAACCTCCTGGGACCTTCTCTGGGGCACCTGGACTCTCAGGAACCCAACCCTGGTGACCACCTGAACATCTGGGAACCCTCTGTGGTCACACCTGGGACCTCCTAGAACCTTCTCTGGGGCACCTGGGACCTTCTATGGGGCACCTGGGACCTTCTCTGGGGCACCTGGAGGCACCTGGGACCTCCTAGAACCTTCTCTGGGGCACCTGGGACCTTCTCTGGGACACCTGGGACCTTCTCTGGGACACCTGGGCACAGGTGCAGCCGCTCCTTCAGCGAGTGGATCTCCTCCTCGTCCTCCTTCACCTGCCACACGTCACACCTGGGGGCTCCTGGGGGCACCTGGGACCCTCTAGAACCTTCTACGGGGCTCCCAGAACCTCCTGAGACCACCTAGAACCTCCTGGGACCTTCTATGGGACACCTGGGACCTTCTATGGGGCACCTGGGACCTCCTAGAACCTTCTATGGGGCACCTGGAGCAACCTGGGACCACCTAGAACCTCCTGGGACCTTCTATGGGACACCTGGGACCTCTCAGGAACCTTCTCTAGGACACCTGGACCTTCTTGGGCACCTGAGGACACCTGGGACCTCCTAGAACCTGGGGACACCTGGGACCTTCTATGGGACACCTGAGGGCACCTGGGACCTCCTAGAACCTTCTATGGGGCACCTGGGCACCTTCTATCTGGGACACTCCTGGGACCTTCTCTGGGGCACACCTGGAGCGCACCTTCGGCCGGGACCCTCCTGGGACCTTCTCTTGGGGCACCTGGGACCTTCTCTGGGACACCTGGGCACAGGCTCGCAGGCGCTCCTTCAGCGACCTGGATCTCCTCCTCAGAACCTCCTATCACCTGCCACACGTCACACCTAGGGGCTCCTGGGGCCACCTGGGACCCTCCATCGAGAGACCTCTCCATGGGACACCTTGGACCTGCTGCAGGAACCCAGCACCTGGGACGGCCGGACTCTGGGAGCCCTCTGCGGCCCCAGAACCTCCTAGAACCACCCAGAACCTCCTGGGACCCTAGGGCACCTGGGACCTTCTATGGGGCACCTGGGACCTCCCTGGGACCTTCTATGGGGCACCTGGAGCAACCTGGGACCACCTAGAACCTCCTGGGACCTTCTATGGGACACCTGGGACCTCCTAGAACCTTCTCTGGGGCACCTGGGACCTTCTCTGGGGCACCTGAGGGCACCTGGGACCTCCTAGAACCTTCTATGGGACACCTGGGACCTTCTATGGGGCACCTGGAGGCACCTGGGACCTCCTAGAACCTTCTATGGGGCACCTGGGACCTCCTAGAACCTTCTATGGGGCACCTGGGACCTCCTAGAACCTTCTCTGGGGCACCTGGGACCTTCTATGGGGACACCTGGAGGCACCTGGGACCTCCTAGAACCTTCTATGGGGCACCTGGGACCTTCTATGGGACACCTGGGACCTTCTATGGGGCACCTGGGACCTCCTAGAACCTTCTATGGGGCACCTGGGACCTTCTCTGGGACACCTGGGCACAGGTGCAGCCGCTCCTTCAGCGAGTGGATCTCCTCCTCGTCCTCCTTCACCTGCCACACGTCACACCTGGGGGCTCCTGGGGCCACCTGGGACCCCCCAGAACCTCCCAGAACCTCCTGAGACCTCCTAGAACCTCCCAGAACCTTCTATGAGACACCTGGAGCAACCTAGAACCTCCTGGGACCTTCTATGGGACACCTGGACTCTCAGGAACCCAACCCTGGTGACCACCTGGAGGCACCTGGGACCTCCTAGAACCTCCTGGGACCCTCTAATTGACACCTGAGGGCACCTGGGACCTTCTCTGGGGCACCTGGGACCTCCTGGGACCTTCTCTGGGGCACCTGGGACCTTCTCTGGGACACCTGGGCACAGGTGCAGCCGCTCCTTCAGCGAGTGGATCTCCTCCTCGTCCTCCTTCACCTGCCACACGTCACACCTGGGGGCTCCTGGGGGCACCTGGGACCCCCCAGAACCTCCTGGGACCACCCAGAACCTTCTATGGGGCACCTGGAGCAACCTAGAACCTCTTGGGACCTTCTCTGGGGCACCTGGACTCTCAGGAACCCAACCCTGGTGACACCTGGAGACACCTGGGACCTTCTATGGGGCACCTGGAGGCACCTGGGACCTCCTAGAACCTTCTATGAGGCACCTGGGACCTTCTCTGGGACACCTGGGACCTTCTATGGGACACCTGGAGGCACCTGGGACCTCCTAGAACCTTCTATGGGGCACCTGGGACCTTCTATGGGACACCTGGAGGCACCTGGGACCTTCCAGAACCTTCTATGGGGCACCTGGAACCTTCTATGGGACACCTGGGACCTTCTATGGGACACCTGGAGGCACCTGGGACCTCCTAGAACCTTCTATGGGGCACCTGGGACCTTCTCTGGGACACCCCAAGGGACACCTGGGCACAGGTGCAGCCGCTCCTTCAGCGAGTGGATCTCCTCCTCGTACTCCTTCACCTGCCACACGTCACACCTGGGGGCTCCTGGGGCCACCTGGGACCCCCCAGAACCTCCTGGGACCACCTAGAACCTTCTATGGGGCACCTGAAGCAACCTGGGACCACCTAGAACCTCCTGGGACCTTCTATGTGACACCTGGACTCTCAGGAACCCAACCCTGGTGACCACCTGAACATCTGGGAACCCTCTGTGGTCACACCTGGGACCTCCTAGAACCTTCTATGGGGCACCTGGGACCTTCTCTGGGGCACCTGGAGGCACCTGGGACCTCCTAGAACCTTCTATGGGGCACCTGGGACCTTCTATGGGACACCTGAGGGCACCTGGGACCTCCTAGAACCTTCTATGGGGCACCTGGGACCTCCCAGAACCTTCTATGGGGCACCTGGGACCTTCTATGGGGCACCTGGGACCTTCTATGGGACACCTGGAGGCACCTGGGACCTCCTAGAACCTTCTCTGGGGCACCTGGGCACAGGTGCAGCCGCTCCTTCAGCGAGTGGATCTCCTCCTCGTCCTCCTTCACCTGCCACACGTCACACCTGGGGGCTCCTGGGGCCACCTGGGACCCCCCAGAACCTCCCAGAACCTTCTATGGGGCACCTGGAGCAACCTAGAACCTCCTGGGACCTTCTATGGGGCACCTGGACTCACAGGAACCCAACCCTGGTGACCACCTGGAGGCACCTGGGACCTTCTATGGGGCACCTGGGACCTTCTCTGGGGCACCTGGGACCTTCTATGGGGCACCTGGGACCTTCTATGGAGCACCTGGAGGCACCTGGGACCTCCTAGAACCTTCTATGGGGCACCTGGGACCTTCTATGGGGCACCTGGGACCTCCTAGAACCTTCTATGGGGCACCTGGGACCTTCTATGGGGCACCTGGGACCTTCTCTGGGGCACCTGGAGGCACCTGGGACCTCCTAGAACCTTCTCTGGGGCACCTGGGACCTTCTATGGGGCACCTGGGACCTCCTAGAACCTTCTATGGGGCACCTGGGACCTTCTATGGGGCACCTGGGACCTCCCAGAACCTTCTAAGTGACACCTGAGGGCACCTGGGACCTTCTATGGGACACCTGGACACCTGAACATCTCAATCCATGGATACCTGGATCCATGGACACCTGGACACCTGGATCCATGGACACCTCGACACCTGAACATCTCAATCCATGGACACCTCAATCCATGGACACCTGGACACCTGGACACCTGAGATCCACCTGAACATCTCAATCCATGGACACCTCAATCCATGGACACCTGGACACCTGGACACCTGAGATCCACCTGAACATCTCAATCCATGAACACCTCAATCCATGGACACCTGGACACCTGGACACCTGGACACCTGGACACCTCAATCCATGGACACCTGGACACCTGGACACCTGGACACCTGGACACCTGAGATCCACCTGAACATCTCAATCCATGGACACCTCAATCCATGGACACCTGAACACCTGGACACCTGGATCCACCTGAACATCTCAATCCATGGACACCTCAATCCATGGACACCTGAACACCTGGACACCTGGATCCACCTGAACATCTCAATCCATGGACACCTCAATCCATGGACACCTGGACACCTGGACACCTGAGATCCACCTGAACATCTCAATCCATGGACACCTGGACACCTGGACACCTGGACACCTGGACATCTGGACACCTGGACACCTGGATCCACCAGAACACCTCAATCCATGGACACCTGAACACCTGAACATCTCAATCCATGAACACCTCAATCCATGGACACCTGAACATCTGGATTCCTGGTCACACCTGAGTCCCACACCTGTCCCAGATTTTTGGGGTGTCCCCTGGGGGTTTTTTGGGGTGTATTCCCAGGTTTTTTGGGATGTTCCCCTACCCGGTCCAGCCGTCTCTCGTCCATGGACTTGGAGTACTCCTTGAGCTTGTGCTCCTGACCCCTCACCTGGCCCAGGTTTTTGGGTTTATTTCCCAGATTTTTAGGGTTTATTTCTCCAGATTTTTAGGGTTTATTTCCTAGATATTTTGGGGTGTATTTCCCCAGATTTTTGGGGTGTATCTCCCCAGATTTTTTGGGGTTCCCCTCCCTAATTTTTGAGGTATATCTCCCCAATTTTTGGGGTGTATTTCCCAGGTTTTTTGGGTTTATTTCCCAGATTTTTGGGTGTTATCTCCCCAATTTTTGGGTATATTTCCCCGATTTTTTGGGGTGTCCCTTCCATATTTTTGGGGTGTCCCCTGAGGGTTTTTTGGGTTTATTTCCCAGATATTTTGGTGTCTCCCTCCCCATATTTTTGGAGTATATTTCCCCGATTTTTAGGGTATATTTCCCCGATTTTTTGGGGTATATCTCCCAGATTTTTAGGGCGTCCCTCCCCAGATTTTTTAGGTTTATTTCCCAGATTTTTTGGGTTTATTTCCCAGATTTTTTGGGGTGTATTCCCAAATTTCTGGGGGTGTTTGCCCTACCCGGTCCAGCCGGCTCTCGTCCATGGACTTGGAGTACTCCTTGAGCTTGTGCTCCTGACCCCTCACCTGGCCCAGGTTTTTGGGTTTATTTCCCAGATTTTTAGGGTTTATTTCTCCAGATTTTTTGGGTGTATTTCCCAGATATTTTGGGGTCTCCCTCCTTAATTTTTGGAGTATATTTCCCAGATTTTTTGGGTTTATTTCCCAGATTTTTAGGGTCTCCGTCTCCATATTTTTGGGGTGTATTTCCTAGATTTTTGGGGTGTCCCCTGGGGGTTTTTTGGGTTTATTTCCCAGATTTTTTGGGTTTATTTCCCAGATTTTTTGGCTATATCTCCCCAATTTTTTGAGTGTATCTCCCCATATTTTTGGGGTATATCTCCCATAATTTTGGGGTGTTTTCCCAGATTTTTGGGGTGTCCCTGGGGGTTTTTCTGGGGGTGTTTGCCCTACCCGGTCCAGCCGGCTCTCGTCCATGGACTTGGAGTACTCCTTGAGCTTGTGCTCCTCACCCCTCACCTGGCCCAGGTTTTTGGGTTTATTTCCCAGATTTTTTGGGGTTTATTTCCCAGATTTTTTGGGTGTATTTCCCAGATATTTTGGGGTCTCCCTCCTTAATTTTTGGAGTATATTTCCCAGATTTTTTGGGTATATTTCCTAGATTTTTAGGGTCTCCCTCCCCATATTTTTGGGGTGTATTTCCTAGATTTTTGGGGTGTCCCCTGGGGGTTTTTTGGGTTTATTTCCCAGATTTTTAGGGTGTATCTCCCCGATTTTTTGAGGTATATCTCCCAGATTTTTTGGGTTTATTTCCCAGATTTTTAGGGCGTCCCTCCCCAATTTTTTGAGGTATATCTCCCAGATTTCTTGGGGTATATTTCCCCAATTTTTGGGTATATTTCCCTGATTTTTTGGGGTATATCTCCCAGATTTTTAGGGCGTCCCTCCCCAATTTTTTGGGTTTATTTCCCAGATTTTTTGGGGTGTCCCTCCCTAATTTTTGGGTGTATCTCCCCAGATTTTTGGGGTTCCTCTCCCAGATTTTTAGGGCGTCCCTCCCCAGATTTTTTAGGTTTATTTCCCAGATTTTTTGGGTTTATTTCCCAGATTTCTGGGGGTGTTTCCCCTACCCGGTCCAGCCGGCTCTCGTCCATGGACTTGGAGTACTCCTTGAGCTTGTGCTCCTGACCCCTCACCTGGCCCAGGTTTTTGGGGTTCCCCTCCCCAATTTTTGGGTGTCCCTCCCAGATTTTTGGGGTTTATTTCCCCAGATTTTTGGGGTGTATTTCCTAGATTTTTTGGGGTTCCCCTCCCTAATTTTTGAGGTATATCTCCCAGATTTTTAGGGTTTATTTCCCAATTTTTTGAGTGTATCTCCCCAGATTTTTTTTGGGGTGTCCCTCCCTAATTTTTGGGTTTATTATTTCCCAGATTTTTGGGTTTATTTCCCCATATTTTTAGGTGTATCTCCCCAGATTTTTTGGGTTTATTTCCCAGATTTTTTAGGTTTATTTCCCAGATTTTTTGGGTTTATTTCCCAGATTTTTTGGGGTTTATTTCCCACATTTTTTTGGTTTATTTCCCAGATTATTCCCCAAATTTTTTGGGTTTATTTCCCAAATTTTTAGGGTTTATTTCCCAGATTTTTAGGGTTTATTTCCCAGATTTTTTGGGTTTATTTTCCAGATTTTTTGGGTTTATCTCCCAGATTTTTTAGGTTTATTTCCCCAGATTTTTGGGGTTTATTTCCCAGATTTTTTGGGTTTATTTCCCAGATTTTTAGGGTTTATTTCCCAGATTTTTTGGGGTTTATTTCCCAGATTTTTTGGGTTTATTTCCCAGATTTTTTGGGTTTATTTCCCAGATTTTTTGGGGTTTATTTCCCAGATTTTTTGGGTTTATTTCCCCAATTTTTTTGGTGTATTTCCCAGATTTTTTGGGTTTATTTCCCAGATTTTTTGGGGTTTATTTCCCAGATTTTTTGGGTTTATTTCCCAGATTTTTTGGGTTTATTTCCCAGATATTTTGGGGTTTATTTCCCAGATATTTTGGGGTTTATTTCCCAGATTTTTTGGGTTCCCCTCCCTAATTTTTGAGGTATATCTCCCAGATTTTTAGGGTTTATTTCCCAATTTTTTGAGTGTATCTCCCCAGATTTTTTTTGGGGTGTCCCTCCCTAATTTTTGGGTTTATTATTTCCCAGATTTTTGGGTTTATTTCCCCATATTTTTAGGTGTATCTCCCCAGATTTTTTGAGGTGTCCCTCCCAGATTTTTTTGAGTGTATTTCCTAGATTTTTGGGGTCTTCCTCTCCCAGATTTTTTAGGTTTATTCCCCAGATTTTTGGGGTTTATTTCCCCGATTTTTTGGGTATATTTCCCCGATTTTTTGGGTTTATTTCCCCGATTTTTTGGGGTGTATTCTCAAATTTCTGGGGGTGTTTCCCCTACCCGGTCCAGCCGGCTCTCGTCCATGGACTTGGAGTACTCCTTGAGCTTGTACTCCTCGCGCTCGATGTGGGCGCTCTCGATGTCGGCCGACAGGTGGGGCATGTTGGACACCCAGGCCACCGTGCGCTCCGACGCCGGCAGCGCCGCGCTCAGCGTCTGCCCGCCCTGGGAGGCCTAAAATTTGGGGTTGGGGGGGGTTAATTGTTCCAAAATGTCCCCAAAAATGGCCCCAAAGTGTCCCCAAAGTGTCCATAAAAATGTCATCAAAATATCGCCCAAAATGACCCCAAAATATCCCCAAAATGTCACTCAAAGTGTCCCAAAATGTCCCCAAAATGTCACTCAAAGTGTCCCCAAAGTGTCCATAAAAATGTCATCAAAACGTTCCCAAAATGGCCCCAAAATGTCACCAAAAATGTCCCCAAAATGTCATTCAAAATGTCACCCAAAGTGACCCCAAAATGTCCCCAAAATATCCCCAAAATGTCACTCAAAGTGTGCCCAAAATGTCCCCAAAATGTCACTCAAAGTGTCCCCAAAATGTCTCCAAAATCTCACCAAAAAGTCCTCAAAAATGTCCCCAAAATGTCCCCAAAATGTCCCCAGTGACGTCACAAATCCCCTCAATCCCACAGTGTCCCCACCCCGTGCGCTCCGACGCCGGCAGCGCCGCGCTCAGCGTCTGCCCGCCCTGGGAGGCCTAAAATTTAGGGTCAGGGGATATTAATTGTTCCAAAATGTCCTAAAAAATGTCCCTAAAGTGTCCTCAAAATGTCACTCAAAGTGTCCCCAAAATGTCCCCAAAATGTCCATAAAAATGTCACCAAAATGTCACCCAAAATGTCTCCAAAATGTCCCCAAAATGTCACTCAAAGTGTTCCCAAAATGATCTGAAAATGTCACTCAAAGTGTCCCCAAAGTGTCCATAAAAATGTCCCTGAAATGTCACTCAAAATGACTCCAAAATGTCACCTAAAATGTTCCTAAATTGTCCCCAAAATGTCACTCAAAGTGTCTCCAAAATGTCCCCCAAAATGTCCCCAAAATATCGCCCAAAATGACCCCAAAATGTCCCCCAAAATATCACCAAAATATCGCCCAAAATGACACCAAAATGTCACTCAAAGTGACCCCAAAATGTCCCCAAAATGTCACCCAAAATGTCACCAAAATGACCCCAAAATGTCCCCAAAATGTCCTCAAAATGTCACTCAAAGTGTCCCCAAAATGTCACTCAAAGTGTCCCCAAAATGTCCCCAAAATGTCACTCAAAGTGTCATCAAAATGACCCCAAAAATGACCCCAAAATGTCCCCAAAAATATCCCCAAAATGTCACTAAATTGACCCCAAAAAATCCCCAAAATGGCCCCAAAATGTCCCCAAAATGTCCCCAATGACGTCATAATTCCCATGATCCCATAATGTCCCCAAAATGCCCCCAAAATGTCACTCAAAGTATCCCCAAAATGTCCCCCAAAGTGACCCCAAAATGTCCCCAAAATGTCCTCAGAAATGTCCCCAAAATGCCCTCAAAAGTGTCCCCAAAGTGTCCCCAAACTGACAGTGCCCTAAAGTCGTCATCTAAAATGGCTCCAAAATGTACCCTAAAATGTCCCCTAAAATGTCCCCTAAAATGTCACCAAAATGTCCCCAAAACGTCCCAAAATGTACTCCCAAAATGTCCCCCAAAATGTCCCGAAAATGTCCCCCAAAATGTCCATAAAATGACCCCAAAATGTCCCCCAAAATGTCACTCAAAATGTCCCCCAAAATGTCCCCAAAATGTCACTCAAAGTGTCACCAAAATGATCCCCCAAAATGTCACTCAAAGTGTCCCCAAAATGTCCCTAAAATGTCACTCAAAATGTCACTCCAAAATGTCACCCAAAATGTCCCCAAAATGTCCCCAAAATGTCTCCCAAAATGTCCTGAAAATGTCTCCAAAGTGTCCCCAAAATGTCACTCAAAGTGTCATCAAAATAACCCCAAAATGTCACTCAAAATGTCCCCAAAATGTCCCCAAAATGTCACCAAATGACCCCAAAATGTCCCCAAAGTGTCCCCAAAAATGTCACCCAAAATGTCCCCAAAATGTCCCCAAAATGTCACCCAAAGTGACCCCAAAATGTCCCCAAAATGTCCCCAAAATGTCACCCAAAGTGTCCCCAAAATGTCCCCCAAAATGTCACTCAAAGTGTCCCCAAAATGACACCAAAAAGTCCTCAAAAATATCCCCAAAATGTCACTAAAATGTCCCCAAAATGTCCCCAAAGTGTCCCCAAAATGTCCCCAAAGTGTCCCCAAAATGTCCCTAAAATGTCACCAAAATGTCTCCAAAATGTCACTCAAAATGTCCCCAAAATGTCCCCAAAATGTCCTCAAAATGTCCCCAAAATGTCCCCAAAATGTCCCCAAAATGTCACCCAAAGTGTCCCCAAAATGTCCCCCAAAAACGACCCCAAAATGTCACCAATGACGTCATAAATCCCATAAACCCCATAATGTCTCAAAGTGTCCCCAAAATGTCCCCCAAAGTCACCAAAATATCCCCCCAAAGTGACCCCAAAATGTCCCCAAAATGTCACTCAAAATGACCCCAAAATGTCCCCAAAATGTCACTCAAAGTGTCCATAAAAATGACCCCAAAATGTCCCCAAAATGTCCCCAAAATGTCACTCAAAGTGTCCCCAAAATGTCCCCAAAATGTCCCCAAAATGTCACTCAAAATGTCCCCAAAATGACCCCAAAATGTCCCCAAAAATGTTCCCAAAATGTCCATAAAAATGTCACCAAAGTGTCTCCAAAATGTCCCCAAATGTCCCCAAAATGTCTCCAAAATGTCCATAAAAATGTCACCAAGTGTCCCAAAGTGTCCCCAAAATGACCCCAAAATGTCACTCAAAGTGTCCCCAAAATGTCACTCAAAGTGTTCCCAAAATCTCCCAAATGACCTTCCAAAATGTCACTCAAAGTGACCCCAAAATGTCCCCAAATGACCCAAAATGTCACCAAAGTGATGCCCAAAATGTCCCCAAAATGACCCCAAAATGTCACTCAAAGTGACCCCAAAATGTCCCCAAAGTGTCCCCAAAATGACCCCAAAATGTCACTCAAAGTGTCCACAAAATTTCACTCAAAGTGTCCCCAAAATGCCCCCAAAATGTCCCCAGTGACGTCACAAATCCCCTCAATCCCACAGTGTCCCCACACCGTGCGCTCCGACGCCGGCAGCGCCGCGCTCAGGGTCTGCCCGCCCTGGGAGGCCTAAAATTTGGGGTTGGGGGGGGTTAATTGTTCCAAAATGTCCCCAAAAATGGCCCCAAATTGGTCACAAAGTGTCCATGAAAATGTCACCAAAATATCGCCCAAAATGACCCCAAAATGTCCATAAAAATGTCACCAAAGTGTCCCAAAATGTCACTCAAAGTGTCATCAAAATGACCCCAAAAATGACCCCAAAATGTCCCCAAAATATCCCCCCAAAATGTCACTCAAAGTGTCTCCAAATTGGTCACAAAATGTCCCCAAAATGTCCCCAAAATGTCCATAAAAATGTCCCCAAAATGTCCCCAAAATGTCACTCAAAGTGACCCCAAAATGTCCCCCAAAATGTCCCCAAAATGACCCCAAAATGTCCCCCAAAATGTCCCCAAAATGTCCCCCAAAATGTCACCCAAAGTGTCATCAAAATGTCACCAAAATGACCCCAAAATGTCACCAAAATGTCCCTCAAAATGTCCCCAAAATGTCCTCAAAATGTCTCCAAAATGTCACTCAAACTGTCCTCAAAATGTCCATAAAAATGTCACCAAAGTGTCTCCAAAATGTCCCCAAAATGTCACTCAAAATGTCCCCAAAATGTCCCCAAAATGTCCCCAAAATGTCACCAAAATGTCCCCAAAATAACCCCCAAAATGTCCCCAAAATGTTCCCAAAATCTCCCCAAAATGTCACCAAAATGACGCCAAAATGTCACTCAAAGTGTCCCCAAAATGTCCCCCAAAGTGTCCCCAAAATATCCCCTAAAATGACCCCAAAATGTCCCCAAAATGTCACCCAAAATGACCCCAAAATGTCACCAAAATGACCCAAAAATGTCCAACTCAAAATGTCCCCAAAATGTCCCCAAAGTGTCCCCAAAAATGTCTCCCAAAATGACCCCAAAATGTCACTCAAAGTGTCCCCAAAATGTCCATAAAAATGTCACCAAAATGTCCCAAAATGTCACTCAAAGTGTCCCCAAAATGTCCTCAAAATGTCCCTCAAAATGTCCCCAAAATGTCCCTCAAAATGTCCACCAAAATGTCCCCAAATGTCCCCAAAATGTCCCCAAAATGTCCCCAAAATGTCACTCAAAATGTCCCCAAATGACCCCAAAATGTCCCCAAAATGTCCCCAAAATGTCCCCAAAATGTCCCCAAAATGTCCCAAAATGTCACTCAATCCCACAAAGTGTCCCCAAACTGTGCGCTCCAGGAGCCGATGTGCAGCCGCGCAGGATGTCTGCAAGTCCCCTAAGAGTGTCTAAAATGTCGGGGTCGGGGGGTCTAATGTCCTCAAAATGTCATCCAAAAATGTCCCATCCCCAAAATGTCCTCCAAATTGGTCGTCAAAGTGTCCATCAAATATGTCATCAAAATATCGCCCAAAATGTCCCCAAAGTGATCACTCCGCAAGTGTGCCCAAAATGTCCCCAAATGTCACTCAGGTGTCACCAAAATACGTCACCCAAGATGATCCCCAAAGTGTTCTAAACATAGTCACCCAAAGTGTCCCCAAATTCTCTAAGATGTCCTGAAATGTCCCACAATGTCACACGAATTCGCACAAATGTCCCCAAATGTCCCCAAAGGTCTAAAGATGTCATCAGAATATCGCCAAATGTCACCCAAATATTCTAAGATGTCGCTCAAGATGATCGCCAAAATGTCCCCAAAATGTCCCCCAAAGATGTCACCCAGTGTCCCCAAAGTGTCTAAAATGTCTGCCTCAGTGCCTGATAAGTCATAGGTGTTCTAAAGTGTCTGAAATGTCACTTAGAGTCACAAAATGTCCCCAGTGTCCCCAGAGTGTCACTCAAGATGATCCCAAGATGATCCACAAAATGTCCCCAAAGTCCTCAAAATGACCCCAAAATGTCTAAGTTCCAAATGTCGCCTCAAAGTGTCCTCCA